TGTTCCTCTCCAATAATTAAAAAATAAATAAAGATAAAATAAAATTGCGACAAAATTGAATAAACTGAGTTGGTTGAAGCAGCATAGAAGTCAACAGATTAATAAGTTTGAACTTACAGATCAAAGTTCCATAAACGTAGGTGATATCTGATCACGTCGGATGAGGAGAAAAATAACCGGAAACTGATAGAAAGAGGGGAAAGACAGTCCTCTATAGTCTGTACTCCGTTGTAATTTATTGTCTTCCACGCAGAGGTATGAATTTCCTTCCCCCACGAGTCCAACCAACCCCACGTCCCCACACCAAAGCCCACCTTTTTTCTTTTTTTTTTTTAAAAAAAAAAAAACAAAAAAAACAAACCTTTAGGGGTGGGGATATCGTAAATAATTTTTTTTTTTAAATGTTACGGAGTAATATGGTAATTTGGGTCATATTTTAATAAAAAATTGTTGATTTATTTTCTAAAAAAAAATTGTTGATTTATAATTTTTAAATTTTATATACGAAATTGTCTTGATAAATCCTTTTAAATTGTTTATTTGATCTTGTTGTTTCACTAAATTAGAACCCGAGCGATTTATATAAAACCTATTTTTAATTTGTATATTTTAAAAATAAATTGCTATTATTCATGAATATAAATTACGTACATTTGATTATTTTAAAAATTTTATTTTCATCAAATTATGATATGGTGTATGTTCAACGTCGTCTACTTTATAGTTCAATGTAGGAGGTCATTTATTAGTGTGCTACTGTGCTATTTAAAATTGTTTCAATTTCTTACTATAAATTGATAGGTTTTAGTTGTAATGTAGAAGTTTTTAATATTTAAATTTAAAAAATGTTAAATATGATAACTCCAGAAAAAAAAAAATGACATCATCATTGCATTTAGGCAGAAATTTATTTATTAAGAGAGCGACGCATAGGCAGTGGTAACGTCAACATCTTCTGTTTTGGTAATAGTTAATAGATAGATTTGTTTTCTACAACTCCTAATTCAGATTTAAAAAAAAAAAGTTATGCTAATTTATTCCGATTTTTTTTAGAAAAATAAATAAATAAATAATCAAATAAGCTCTATTTGGCAAAACTTTTGGTAGCTGGTAACTTTTAGCGGTCGAGTAGCGGGTAGCTATTAGAGTATTGGATAGTTTATAATTAGTAGTGGGTAGAGGTTAGCTGTCAATGTAGTAGTTAATAATATGAGTATCTAGCAAAAATTTATGTTAAAATAAAAGTTTGTGTAAATAATATAGGTATTATTGATAAAATAGCATGAGCTGAGAGATTATTTACACACTTTGCTATTTTTATACCTTGTGTTAGTTTGCTTGAAATTGATAATTTTTGGTATTCAAAACCAACTTATGTGTATTCTCATTCCTTTGAGAGAATTAAATATTACATGAAAATTAATGTTAAGAGTATGGCATATTCAAATTAACACAAGAGCTTTATACAGTGAAATGATCAATGTTGAATATAAAAAAATACAATACATGTATAAAATATCACGTACTTATTTAAAAATAAAATATATAAAATTTGAAATAATAAGAAATTCACATTAAAATAACATGAAATTATGAACCTGGATTACCTTGTGCATGGTATACCGAGAGTACACATGAAATTGCGCATCAAAGTAGTGTAAGACCATGTTCACTTCATCTTACAAAAAATTATATTCAGTAAAAATAATTTTAGTTCAGCAAAATTAATTTCAATTCATTAAGATAATTTCAGTTTAGTAAAAATTATTTCAATTTAGCAAAATTAATCTTATTTTAGTAAAATAATTTCATTTTGGTAAAATTATTTTAGTTCAGAAAAATTAATTTTAATCTAGTAAAAATAATGCCAGTTCATCAAAATTTATTTCAATTCGTAAAAATAATTTATGTTCAACAAAAATAAGGTGAAGTGAATAGGACCAAAGTATAATAAATGTTGTATGGTAAACTAGACACTTTGACAGTAAAACCCGTCTTTGTTCTGTCTTAGTAGATTCTTTTAGTGGCATGTTTCGGTCCTGTTTCCCCCCAAAAATGATAAAGCATATTGTATAATAATTGGAAATTAGGGTGTGTTTGGACAATGTCCTGAGTTACTATTTTGTACTTGTTTAATTTGATAATAATATTCGATTGTCTTTTATTAGCTAGTGTATTGATAATCAAGTTTGTACTTGTTTTAATTTGATGATAACGTTCAACTATTTTTTTTTTTTTATTAATGTATTGATATTTGATATTCATTTTTTTTTTGTTTTGTTTTACACAGTATTGATGATCATGTTGCAAATTTAATATTTTGAAAAAAAAAATTGTATAAGGAGAACCAAATTCATTCTTGTATGTTGTGATTTGAATATAACAAAAATATTTAACAGAAAATTCTTATTTTTCACCAAATCGAAAAAGAATACAATTTTTCAAACTTCAAAATAAATCTATTAATTTTTTTAAAATATACATGTTAATTATCTTATGATATGTAACAAATAATGCAATTAAAGACTTATAATCTTATCTAAGTTAACTATAATTTTGTTGGGTAAAATTGCACAATACATAGATATTTAAGGTGGTAATATTTGTAACATATTACTTGTGACATAGTATACCCAATTATTGATATTTATGGTACATTAAGGGGTCGTTTGGTTAAGACAAGGTAAACAGAATGGAATCAAGAAAGGGATTGAGGGGGAAAGGAAATGATACCCTTTGATGTAATATGTTGTTTGGGTTACATAATCAATAAGTTACAGATCTTCCACCACCTTCTCCAAAAACTTCTCCCTCATATTAATAGAGCACCATCCACTCCATCCTGACGTCATTTTTGGATCCCTTCCATTGTCACTGCCACCTTCACGCCGCTGCCTCTCTTAGGCCCCACAATCGAAATTTTCTCTCTCATCTAATTATAGGTTTTAAAGGTCAAATTCACCCTTAAAAACTCTAGATCTGGAGTTTTTATTGGTGTATTTGACCATCTATAGCCATATTTGATGATAGAAAAAGGTAATTTTTTCACTTATATTATTTTAATTTTAAAATTAGTAGTAATTGGGAGGTTGTATGTGGTTTTTTTCTAGTGGTGGTGGGGCTTCGGGGTGGTTGTGGTGGTTTTGATTAATGGTTGTGGTGGTATCATGGTAATTTCAAAGTGGTTTCGTGGAGCGGTGGAGTTTTAGGGGCGTTTGAAGCTGGGGTCGTCAGTGGTGGTGACGCTACAATGGGACGGTTCACGATTGGCAGTGGGAGGTTGCTGGTGGACCAAGTCAGGTGGTGAAAGTTGGTTATAGTTGTTGGGTGTAGAGGATTTTGGGGTAATGGATGTTTCCCTTGGAGGAGGTGGGGAATGATGATGGAAGAAAATTGGGTAATCAAAGGGGAAATGGAATGATTGAATTAGACAAACAAACAACATTAAAGGGAATCATGGCAGTTGATTCCCATTCCGTTTCTTGAAACCCCCCAACCAAACGCCCCTAAGTATTCTTTTAAACATTTGATAAAATAATAATAAGAAACCCATTGTTTTGGAAAAAAACAACACCAGAAAGTGACGAGTGTCATTCGATATTACCCTGTAATTTTCCTAAAGCTCTGTCCATACTTTACTATTGCGATATTATGAAACAGAGAGTGTACTCCGTAAGTTAATTTAAGGAGTACTCTCTCCGTTCCCATTTAATTGACACATTGAAATGGGCATGGAGTTTATGAAAATGTTTGAGTGGAATAGTTTATTAAGATGTTTATTGTAAAGTGAACATAGTGGAATATTATTTTATTCATAGAAATAGTGCACGGGGCATTGTAAAGTGAAGTTAGGCCCTTTTCAGTTTAATTTTAAAAAAATAATATGGAGTATTCAGTAAAAATAATTTTAGTTTAGTAAAATTAATTTCAATTTAGTAAAAATCAATAACTTGAAAGAAGAAATATATTAGAAAATCAGTAAAAAATAATTTTAGTTTAGCAAATATAATTTAAGTTTAACAAAATGAATAGGGTCTAAGTGAAATGTTTGAGTGGGGAGTGACGATAATTTTAATATAAATATTTAAAGTGTCCGTAAAAAAAAATAAAAAAAATAAACCGGTGAGCCATTGTGTAATAATATAGAAAATAACTAGACATTAATGAATCCTCGCCATCTTTAATAATAAGTTAATTAATTATTTATAAACAACCAACAAAAGGAAGAGCAGCAAATTCAAGTTACTCAATTTTAGTAACAATCCATATTACTCAAGGGATACGCTGGTCATTTCACCGGCTAAGGTAGGGGTAGATTAGTCACGCTTGGATTAAAGTAAAGAAGATGGAGTTAAGATGACGAAAAAATGATGAGAAGGAAAAAAAGATGAGAAGGGGAAACCGAGATCTTCATTATTTAATAGTGGAGGCTGAACAATTTTTCACAAGGAGGGAACACTTATAAACAATAACAAATTCCTACCATTTAAGGTTAACCATGCCCTTAACTTATAATTTTTTTTAGGGTTTTCATAAAATTCGGTGGCGAAGCCACCAGAAGTGACATGTTGGGATCGGAGTTTGTTGTGGTGTTAGTAGTGTTGAGGACGATCTATGTTTGTGGTGTTGGACGAATAACACCATTGTTATACTTTTGCAGACAAGTGAAGAAGGAAGAAGAAGAGATAGATGAAGAAGGAAGGACTGCTATACACGAATTTCAAGACTAAGGGCATGTTCTCATTGATTGAACTCAGCTGCATTGAACTAAATATTTTATTACAGAAAAAAATTAGGAGTTGAACTGAACTGAGCTAAAAATAAATGTATGAGAACAAATCCTAATATTAATAGTTTTCAAAAAAAAAAAAAACCCTAATACTACTATTAACAACATTGTCATTTGAGTAACAATATTAACATATGTCTAGAAGAAGGGCAAAGCTACAATAACTCAATAAGTATACACCAGGCAAAAGCCTTCCTAGCTCTTTATCATCAATCAAATCAAAAACAAAAGAAAAAGAGAGAATGGCCGTTGCCTTCTCTCCCCGCCTAAGACCACACATTGCCATTCGTATCTTTGCTCAGTCTCTCCTTCCTACGACCACAACCCTTAGTAACTCAATTCTTCCGAAACCTCGCTTATGCTTCTCCTCCGCTCATCATTCTTCTCCTCTGCCTCGTCGGAGATGCTGCTGCACTCTCATCTCATCTGCCGGCGAAGACATTAAGCCGCCGGAAAATGTCGATTCCGGTAGTAAAGTCGGACTGTTTCGTAAGAGGTTGAAAATTGCTGATATTAAGGGCGGTCCTGACCAGGGTTTGGATCGTTTAGGCCATACTTTGCTCGTTCGAGGCTGGGTTCGCACCATTCGGATGCAGAGCAGCGTCACTTTTATTGAGGTTTTTTTTTTTTTTTTGAAGAAATGTTTCTAATTCTCTATTGTTGGAATTCACTGATTTATATATTATTATGGCAGGTGAATGATGGGTCGTGTCTCTCAAATATGCAATGTGTGGTGAGCTCAGATGCTGAAGGTTATGATCAGGTACTTCGTCCAAATCTAACTGTCACATTGATAGTACTGTAACAACTAAAGCGAATGTTGCTTATCAATATTTCTAGTAAATGAAAACGAGAATTTATCGAATGTTGCCATTGGACATTTAGCTAGTTGGAAATACTTTAGTTGAAAACTTTTTTATTCGAGTCGAAGCGCCCCAAGCTAGGCGACATGTACAAAGGATAAAGATGATTATATCATCATTATCATTATTAGTTATTGTTTAGAATATGTAAATTCCTTGATTTACTCCTTAATTTTGATAGTCAAAGTATATCCCTTATAATTAGCTGATGTACCTAGTCACATATTGTATGTAGTCATAGTTTGGTATGTTCAATGTTCTAATCTTGTACTATATATACTCGTGTATATTCATCAATATAATCAAGCTTTCCAACATTCTCTTTCTCATAACTCTATCATTGGTATCGCTACTGATCCATCTTTCTCATGAGCTTTTGATCCATCTTTTCTTGCTTTCGCTACTACCATGGTTACACTATCAAAACCCTTTGTTGATGCCGACAAATGATGGTGACCATATCAAACTTTTCTTCTCGGAAAGCTTCAAACCAAAATCACACTTTTTGCTCAATTGTTTTGGCACCCCGTATTTCATATACCAAGAGATGCTATTGATATTTTTTTTTCTCCAAACCCCTTACACGAAAAAACAAACCTTTTTCGATATCCCGTAGTTTACCTACCATGTGTTACCATATACAAAATTCTCTCCAAAACCATTATGGAGAAACATAACATTATGTTCTAAACCACCATCACCACCATTATAATTTTTCTATCTCGCCTGTATGGTGGTCAAGGAACCTCTATATTTTTTTCCCTTCCATTTGTTGCAAGCATACGCCAGCAAATTTGAAATTTCTTTTTTTTTTTTATTTATTTTTGAATATTTACAATCAATGGTTCATGTGTTTAAAAACCGTGAAAAACACCCATTAAACAACTTCTTATTCTCTCTCTATATATACTATCTTTTAACTTCTTCACGCAATTCCTCCATCTATAAAAAAAAAAGCTCCTTTAACACACTTCCTTTCCTTTTTCTTCTTAGCGAAAAAAAAAAAACCTTCTAATGCTCCACTCCCTCCAGACCTTATTGGAGAATCACAATGCAATGCAACCTTTCTCACCACCATTTCAATTCCTACATTGAACAAGATTTGAGATCTTATATCCAAGATCGGCTCTCTCGTTCCGAACTTCCGTCTTGCGGGGGCGTATAAAGGATAAAGATGATTATATCATCATTATCATTATTAGTTATTGTTTAGAATATGTAAATCCCTTGATTTACTCCTTAATTTTGATAGTCAAAGTATATCCCTTATAATTAGCTAACGTACCTAGTCACATATTGTATCTAGTCATAGTTTGGTATGTTCAATGTTCTAATCTTGGACTATATATACTCGTGTATATTCATCAATATAATCAAGCTTTCCAACATTCTCTTTCTCATAACTCTATCAAAATGATCAAATTGGTGAGAAATACCCTGTGTTAATTAGAGGTGGTTATTGGACAGGGTAGCCCAATGATAATAGGGTCAGGGCCAAGCATATAGGGTTTTTAATGGACAAGCCTATTAATGGACAAGACCCTTATTAGGTAGGGTCAATATAGGGCCAACATGTTTTTCCAATTTAGTTGATAAAGAAAATACACAATGTAAAAATAATTATATAGATTAATTTGTATTCATATGTATTTTAATTTGATATTTTGTAGGCCCGCCCATTATCGACCCGCAACCCGCATTGTCCCGACCCTATATTGACCCTATAAAATGTGACCCTATTTGACCCTGACCCGCAACCGACCCTGACCCGCCCCGCCCAATAACCAGGTCTAGTGCTGATAGTGTACGTGCTGTTCCTTGTTAGGAAATTGTGATACAGTTTGAATCCTCAAATGTTTTACAGATGTGAAGAAATGAAACTTCTTTAATCACCTATTGTCTTTGCACCTTCACCACAGACTTGTTTTGATGTGGCAACATCATTTGAACTACCAAACTGTAATAATGTGACTAGCACTTGCATCATATCTTCCAGTCATCCATTCACTATTTTTTATTATTTTATTTTATTTTATTTTATTTTTTTTCAGGTAGAAGCCGGTTGCATCTCCACAGGAGCATCAATCTTGGTCCATGGCACCATAGTTGGAAGCCCAGGATCGAAACAGAAAGTTGAGTTAAAAGTTAACAAGATTGTGTTGGTATATCATCTTCCTTGGTTGTTGATATATGTTTTACTATGCAAACTGTTAGGAACTAAATCATGAAAGGAAAGAACGAGTACTGATTTATTGTGATTACCACACATTAACTACAATGAAGACTATTAGCAATAGACAAGCATGAAGGAGACAAGAACATATTTTATCATGGAAAACCCGGTGATAAACCCACCAATACACTATAGTAATAATTTAATGACGGAGGCTTTAAGCTTCAATTTGAAGCGCCCTCCTCAATAAAACTTCTCTCACACTTAAACTCTAAGTGTTTGTGCTATTACAATTGAGGCTTTTTTTTTTTTTTATTTTTTTTTTATTTTTTTATATAATAATCAAAGCTTTTTTTATATACAATGGCTAACATGAATATATATAGTGCAAGACATAAAAAAATCATATAGACAAGAAGGCTCGATATTGCTTGATAAAACATAAATCACTAAATAGGGTCATGAAGGTTTGGTTGGACTATTTACCCATATCACTTGTTTCCATATTCTTCTTCAAGTTTGTGTGAACTGCCATCCATCTTTGGGTGAACAGCTCTTCTTCCACCATAATTTAGCCCTGAATCATTTCTCCACACTGTTCCAAACCCAACACTATTATTGCAAGGATGCAACTTAGTTCCTTTTTCTTCCTTGCTTCAAGTTATTATTTATAGGTGTCATTCATATCTAGTTTATACATGCAAGAAGCTTATATCGTATAAGTATTCAAAGAGTTATTGAGAACAAATGGAAGTAATAGTTCTTGTATCCTAAAGAAATTACACATTTACAGTAGTTGGGGTTCATAAATCTTTGGACTCTTTTCTCCTTTCACATATTCCGTAGATATTCCTTTGAAATGGAAAAGGAATGTTCCTTTATCTTATGTAACAAATTGTTTTAAATAGGCTGCTTTCCGTAGATACATGAGAGAAAAGGAAAATTCTTTTACTATACATCCCTTAAGTATTGATGTGAATGCGGATGGCATTTCCTTTGAAGCGTGCTTTTCCTAACTATAGATAATGAATTTCAACCTCCTGGTGTTCGTCACATATTATGGTCATGGTATCAAATTCGAATATATGTTTATAATTTCTAAAGTAAACCATGAATATCCTGTTAATTATCATGAAAAGGATATCAACTTGCAGTAAAAAATTTAGTTCATTCATCTTTTCTTGCATCTCTTCTATTGAGCTATGTGTAATATGGTGCTGAAATACTACTTTTGTGTTTTTTCTTCTCTCTCTTTTACCATTTCAGATTGGTGAAAGTGATTCTTCGTTTCCTATACAAAAGAAAAGGGTTAGCAGAGAGTTTTTGAGGACTAAAGCTCATCTTCGCCCTAGAACCAATACTTTTGGTGCGGTATGATCTCATCTTAGTGTTTTTACTAATATACTCATAAAGTCCATCTTTTGGTAAACTAAACGATGTTTGACTTCAAGTATAAAGAAAAGAAATATCTTTTTCTTTCATGAATTTTGTTAGTTCAATTACTTATATTTTAGTTGTAGATTTTTTTTCTTATTAGAAATGTCATCTTCTTTATGTGATGCTATCATCTTTGATCGTTTTGGCATATATGTTGTTCCATCATGGTTATATATTGTTTTTTTTCCTTGATTATTACGTGGTTCATGTCTCTCAAATCCATAAAATCATTATACTTCCTCCATTATATTTTAATTGCAATGTTGGGAGTTTCACGTTTGCCGGTGCACATCTTATATCATGAATAACTTTAATTTTATGTGTGAATAGTGTAAAAATTCAAACGTTACGAATAGAAAAAAACAGGGGAAGTATATATATAATCTTGCTTTTATGTAAAATGTCATCTGCTTATAAATATCAGTTGCTTATTCAGATGCGTGTTTCTCTCTTCACCCGGAATTATAGTTTCTTAATGTATTTGCATTTGATAAAGATGTACCACATTAAGTATCTCAGGTTTATTGTCATTGCAAGCTGGTATAGGTTGCAAGGGTGAGGAATGCTTTAGCCTATGCTACACACAAATTCTTCCAAGAGAATGGGTTTGTCTGGATCTCAAATCCAATTATCACTGCTTCAGATTGTGAAGGTGCTGGTGAACAATTTTGTGTGACTACTTTGGTAAGTGGTTGGCAGAGAATTTCTATTTTATTTTCAATCCGCCGGTAGAGTTTTGGGCTTTACATTTTTTTATGTGGCTAAAGAATTGTGGGTGAGTGCCTTGTATGTTATTCCCTCAGTCCCTAGTAGTTTGCCCCATTTTCTATTTTGGGTCGTCCATTAAAAGTTGCCCTATTTCCTTATATTGTAACATATCCACCATTTATTCCATTTGCATACACTCATAGAAGTTAGAAAGACAAGGATACCCTCACCCACTTTCAAAAGTTTGGTCCAAGCCTTAATAAAATACATCTTCCCCCCCCCCCCCCCCACAAAGTATAAATTATTTCCTCTGAAGTTTATTTGTTTTCCCATGGAATTTTGTAGTAGGTTTGTGCTAAAAAAAGCCTTAGTATCTGGAAGCGAATAATTGCTTGTAAATTTGTGTGCTGCACCTTGAAATTGCATTAATAGAAGTTGTTAATTTTAAAAATCAGCTTTGACTCTAATTTTGGGAAAATACAATGTAATGCAAGTTGTAGTCCAAATAAGGTTTCTTTGACATTACTACATACGTTTTATTTAGCATTTGTCTTGTTCATTTCAATTCCTATAATGTTTTTGTTAATCAACAGATTCCAACCTCCCTGGAAGCTATGGATTCTTCTGCAGGTAAAATCCCAAAAACAGATGAGGGTTTGATTGATTGGTCGCAGGTGAGTCTGATTGCTCTAAAATGGTATGAGAAAATCAGCTAATTTTCCTTTTTTTCTTGGATAAAAAAGACTTTGAATCTTGAGACATCTATATGTTTTGACCTTTTGAGGTCTAAAGATGGACTAGTCATCAAGCTCATCCAATATTGGTAAAGGATACATTAATTATCTATTTATATAATCTTGGTTCATGCAGCTGACCCCATCATATTGAGATTAAGGATTTGGTTGTTTGTTGTTATATGTATTTTTTTTAATTAATGTAATTGGCCTTTATTTCACTGTTGCACATGTAAGGCCAGTGGGTTGGTTATATTCTGATTAGATAGATATAGGATGCCTATATCAGTAGTGAGAGGTCTTGCATTGGAAGAATATCACCAATAAGAGTTGCTGCCTCTTTCAAATTTTATGTCATATCCTACCAGCCAATGATATAGCCTGTCAAAAGTTATTGATTTGATGATATTAAACTTAATTTATATCCCCTGTCAGGATTTTTTTGGGAAGCCGGCATTTTTGACTGTCTCAGGCCAACTTAATGCTGAAACTTATGCTACTGCTCTTTCTGATGTAAGCTTGTCTTCTTTTGATTACCTACTGGGTTTGTTGTTGTATCTTTATTCTGATTATCTATGCTTTCCCTTTTGATTTATTGATGTCTTTCTGCCAGGTATATACATTTGGCCCAACATTTCGAGCTGAGAATTCAAATACCTCTAGACATTTAGCCGAATTTTGGGTATACCTTTTTGCTGCTGATTACCTATTTGCTGCTGTCGTGATCACATTTTCAGTTCTGATGTTTGTTTTACTGGTTTTGTAGATGATTGAACCAGAACTTGCATTTGCTGATCTCAATGATGACATGGCTTGTGCCACTGCTTACCTCCAGTATGTAGTATGTTATCTCACACTTCTATTGTTATGTTTGATATGTTTATCTGGTATGCTTATAATATTACCTTGCACTTCTGATACGGTTGGTTCTGTTTCTTGTAGGTGAGACACATTCTTGAAAATTGCAAGGAAGATATGGATTTTTTTAACACGTGGGTTGAGAAAGACATCATTAATCGATTGAATGTATGGTTTTTTATTGAAACAATAAATTCTGTTTATCATTGCGCTTTCTTCCATTCCAATTTCTCAATTTAAACAAACTTTACTTACTCAATTTTCTGTCTATTTAATGTAACAATCGATTCGATGCACAATCACTTGTAATTTTTAAAATAAAAAATGCAATATAGAGTGTAACTTGCCAGTTGTCAATACCAATGCATTACTGAGTAACTCTTGAGCTTAGTTTATTTGGGTGCCTTTCTTGGTCAGACCAACCCAACCGGTGATTTCTGTTTGATCCCTTGATGTATGTTCTGTTTTAGAATTTATAATTCTTTGTCTCATATGCAGGATGTGGCTGTGAAAGATTTTGAGCAGCTTACTTATACTGATGCTGTTAATATTCTTCTGAAAGCAAATAAGAAATTTGAATTCCCGGTATGATTTGTTGCTTTTTTTTTTTTTTTTTTTTTTTAAATAGTTATGTATTGATACTGGAGTTTAAGTATGTTGAAATTGTAGTACTACCTACGTTTAGACTAATTTTCAAGTATAATTTCATTCTCTATTTACTGTTCAGTAAGATTTTTTATGCCTTTCTTTCCCCAGTAAAACCTTCCACTGTTATCGTTTATTGAAATTGCTGCAACTGGACACTAATGGGTAACAAGCTCTACATGTGTCTTAAACTTTTAATCTTTTAGCCTTTATAGTAAATGTTGAGGAAATGAACATTTACGGATGTCTAGCAATTATTGGTTGTTTGGTACTTTGGTGGATCAGATTATCAAGTTCCAGCTATTTTACAGATATATAGTTGCTAATTGCCACTACTATACCTGATTTCGTGGTTTTCCTCTTTGAGGTATCTTGTATCCATCTGTTTTGTACATAAATATAATATGTTACTATTCACTTAAGGCTATCTTTTGAACGCTGTCCTTTTTAGTGTGCTTGGATAAGATTGATTGGACTAAAAGGGAGGGGATGGTCTTTGTGAATCAGATCTTTCCTTTGATAAGGAGATTTGGAAAGAAAATGGAAGCACACTCTTCCCTTTCCTTCGTCGTGTCCCTCCATATATGCTAATCAAACACACTGTTACTACACTATAGTGCTCGGAAGAGACTATATCCTTTTCTTATTATCTTTACGCATATATGATTACTCTGGATTCTCTTGTTTAAATTGAGTGGTGTTTTAGTTGCTTCACACTTTGGAATTAAGGCTTTGATATTGTAACGCTTCTCACTTTATTAGTATTATTGGTATATTTGGACTCGATAGGTTGAGTAATGATTATTTTGAGCTCTTTAATCGAGTGACAATGTGTTAACGATGCTTCACCCATGAAATAGTAATTGTTGCTTCTCACTTTATCGATATTGTTGTATGTTGTTGATTCAACAGGTTAAGTGGGGTTATGATCTGCAGAGTGAGCACGAGCGATATATTACGGAAGAGGCATTTGGTGGTTGTCCTGTAATCATTAGAGACTATCCCAAGGCATGTTATGATCTGCAGAGTGAGCACGAGGGATATATTTTAGTTTTTATGAAGCTAAGAGGCAATTTTATTGTGAATTTTCCAGGAAATCAAGGCATTCTACATGAGGCAAAACGATGATGGGAAGACTGTAGCTGCAATGGATTTGCTGGTTCCAAGGGTAAGTTCTTGATGCATCTTCTCTGATGATTTATGTATTTTTACACTATCTATCTATTTCCATACCCACCCCCCTTTTTGGAATACATGCTACTTTCTCTTGCTTCTCACTTGCTTTTAAATAAATGAACAACACTCTTTCCTCATTGCTACCAATTTTTTAATCGAGTCTTTCTACTTCTACTGATTCTATTCTTGCTTAGTATCCCATTTCATTTGTAAAGTTGTACTCCCTTCGTATTTAATTAATTGCTCCACTTTTCTTTTACGGTTGTTTTTAAATAATTGCTTCTTGGAAACTTTTAACAATATTTTACTATTTTCCTCTTCACTGTGGTCCCTTCATATCATATTTATAGTTTTTAATTCTCTCTCCTCCCTACTTATAACAGCTTTCGCCTTTTCAGAATTTTTATTCTTCAATTAACCCCAAGTCAATCATAAAAATATTACTCCCTCCGTTTCAAAGTGATCCTCTTGCTTTCCATTTTGTGTATTTCAAAATGATCTTCCCACTTTCTATTTTAATTCCTCACTTATCTGTTATAGACTGGATTCTACTGATTTAATTAAGCACAATTAATATTAATTTAATGCTGAAAGCTTGAACATTTGATTGATTAATGGTTGGATTGCATAAGGATAGCCATAACTTGAGGTTATGAGTCTCTCAGTAGCTTGAGGCTACAAATCTCCTAGCAACTTAAGGTTGCAACTCTCCAATTTTTCCTCACTAATTTCTGCCCACCTTTCCACTAACACTACTACTACTTATACTAAGCTGGTAAGATGACCTTAAGGCTTAACATGTGAAACTTAGCTAATTTAGACAAACATAAATTAACATCATAGGACTAAGTAGCTTCTTTTCCTTCTCTTCTTCTTTATTGATTTTGTCTTCTACCTAATTGGAGTCTTGAGGCCTTGAAATGCTCCCTGCTGCTGCTGCCCTTTTCTGTTGCTCTTGTTGCTTGTTGACTGTCCTCCTATCATAGACCCGCATAGGTTGTGGTTGACCTGTATTACCAAATTACCCCCTCTAAAGCCGGTCTATTACATTATCCTAATTATTAACCCATATTACCCTAGTTTAATAGTCCCAATGTACTTAATTTAAAAATAATAAGTGGTCCCAATGTACTTTATTCCAATAAAGGATGATCCTATTGTATTTAAATGGTCCGAATGTACTTTATTTCAAGATTTTTCTCTTACCTTATACAAAAAAGATTCCAAGTGAGAATATGATTTTGAAACAGAGGAAATACTTTATACCATTCCTTCTAAAACTCCGTGTCCGGAGAAGTGGAACAACTAATTACGTACAGAAGGAGTAATCATGATTCATGAATTATTAGGTTTGGTAATTCAAGGTGTTTAGGACTGTAGAAGGTCATTGATTAATCCATGAGTAGATTGGAAGTATCATTGAACTTTTGTATTCTTTTGATCTAAGTTTTAAATCAATATTTTGAGATTGATCAACTTTTGATTCCTCATTCTTGTAAGGGAACTTGTGGTTTGTAGATTGGTTAAACCCATACTTAATATTCGTTTAAGAAAATTTTAATTTCTAAACACTTACCTTAAACCCGAAAGTATAAGGTTTAGAAGCTGAAGTGGGATCATACCACAACTTTGCTGTAGTTATCAAATAAAAAGAAAAAAATCATTTCTAAACAACAATCGAACACAAGGTATTAAGAATCAAGTTTGTAACTCTATATCACCTTGGTTTCATTCTTGATGCCAAACCCATACCACTCCGTGAACCAAATGCTCCCTTAACAATTACTTCTTGCGTTCTATTAATATTGCAACAATGGACCTTTTGCACTATTCACTCTTGTTTCACCGTATAATATGGTTTATACGTTAAGCTAAAATATAGTCATGTGGATCTTTTTGGATTCGTCTCATTCACAATATCAACTTTTTATACTCCCTTTGTCCCAAATTACTCGCAACATTTTGACTTTTTGCACTATTATGTTATAGATTGACTCAATTAATTTATAATTAACATGATTAATTAAGGAAGGCTTGGCAACCAATTGATTAATAATCGAACAAGAAGGAAATTCGGACAGGGGTTACAATAGCAACTTGAGGCTGAAATCTCTAAGCAACTTGAGGTTGCAAGTCTTCGAAGGTTTCCTCATAATTTTCTGGATAAAAACACTTGCCCACTAAACTATCATACTTATACAAATGGTTCCTTAAGGGAATTACATGTGACTACTTTACTAATATGGAAAAACCATAAATGAACATAGCTATAGATGGTTGCTCTTCCTTCCTTCATTCTTCTTAATTACTTTTGGCCTTTTGCAAAGAAATGCCTTCCCTAGATTTGTTGTTGCTGACTTCCTTTTCCGTGCCTAGTGTACACCAATAGTGGTTGACTTGGGTTCATTACAATACTCCCCCCCCCCCCAAAGTTTCACCTTGTCCTCAAGGTGGAAGGAGGGAAATCGGTCGACCATAGCCTGATACTCTTCCCATGTAGCTTCAAACGGGGGCATTCCAGATCATTGAATGTGAACTTCTAGGACTACCCTGTTTCCTCCCCTGCGCTTGCGAACATCTAACAATTTCTCGGGTTCAACCATGAGCTCCAATTCTGCCGTCAGTTGGGTCGGAATGGTTTGGCCGATGATATTGCTACCCTTAGCTCGCTTCAATTGTGACACGTGAAAGGTGGGATGTAGTTTACATGAGCTTGGCAGATCCAACTTGTATGCAACCGTTCCCACACGTAGGAGGATCTTGAAGGGACCGTAGAAACGGGCTGCCAGTTTCTCGAACGGTCGTTTAGCTAAGGAACGTTGCCGATAAGGACGGATTATGAGAAATACCTCATCCCCTACCACGAACACCTTCTCGCGGCGATGCTTAACTGCATTTGACTTCGTGATCTACTGCGCCCGAATCAAATTCAGCCGTAATTCATCTAACATAAAATCACGCTCCTTGAGTTGCTCTTCTAAGGACCCCACTGGAGTTTGTCCCGAGCCTATCCTTATCAATTTTGGCGGATCCCTCCCGTACACCACCTTGAAAGGTGTCGTTTTGGTGGAAGTGTGCGGGGAGGTGTTGGTTAGAGCCCAGCTCTTGGGTTGTGCCGAGGCGAAACATCTCAGATATCCCTCCAAATTCTTGTTAACAATCTCTGTTTGTCCATCGGATTGTGGGTGATATGTCGTACTCCGATTCAATTGGGTCCCTTGGAGTTGGAATAATTCTCTCCAAAACTGGTTGATGGAAGCTTTATCACGATCAGAGACAATCGACGAAGGAAAGTCGTGTAGCCGTACGATTTCCTTGACAAACAACTCCGCCACCTTCAAGGCGGTAAACGGGTGTTTGAGCCCCAGAAAATGCCCATACTTTGAGAACCGGTCAACAATAACCAGAATTACATTTACCCCTTTTGAGAGAGGAAGTCTCTTGATGAAATCCATCGAGATATCCTCCCAAGCGGTCGTCGGCACCAGTAGCGGTTAGAGTAGCCCAGCCAGACTTCTTTGAGAAGCCTTGTTCCGCTGGCAAACTTCGCACGCCCCCACGTATTCCGCCACCGCCTTGCGCATCCTTGGCCAAAACCACTCCGCCGCCACGCGGAGGTAGGTCTTAACCCAAATGTCGTGGCCTCCCATGGGGGAGTCGTGGTACTCATGCAACAATTTGGGGATGATTTTGGTTGACTTAGGAAGAACAATTCTCCCCTTATATTGGACTCGGCCTTCTTTGAGAGTAAACCTATTGGGCCTAATCTCATTGGCTGGAGGCTCCCCCTTATTTCAGTGATCCACTTATTAGCTTCTAACTCTTTATCCAACTCTCCCCAATCAATACTCTGAGTGTAAATTAAGGCACTCAACTCGTATTGCTTTCTCGAGAGCGCATCCGCCACTCGGTTTGAAGCCCCGGGCATGTATTGAACCTCAAAGTCAAACCCGACTAATATTCGCATCCATCCTTGATACTCATTGCCAATCTCATGTTGCTGAGTTATGTAGCGAAGACTTTGTTGGTCGGTTCTTACTATGAAATGCCGACCCAACAAGTAGTGACACCACTTAACTATAGCCAAACAAATAGCCATCATCTCCTTTTCATTCACGGATTTAGCTTGAGCCCTTACCCCTAAAAACTTACTATAGTAAGCGATGGCGCGACCTTCTTGCATCAATACCGCCCCTAACCCGAAACCGGAAGCATCAATTTCAAGTATAAACTCCTTGAAATCAGGCATGGCCAACACCGGGGCGGTAGTCATGGCCTTCTTGAGCCTCTCAAAGGCTTTAGTAGCTTCCTCCGACCACCCATATGCGTCCTTCTTGAGTTGGGCGGTTAAAGGGCCGACAACTTGGGCGTAATGGGCCACAAACTTGCGATAATAGCCCGTTAAGCCGAGAAATCCTCTTAACTCCTTGGCCAATTAAGGATGGCCTTAATTTTGTCATTAACCATTGCAACCCCTTGCTTGGATATGATATGGCCCAAATATGCAACCCGTTGACTCCCAAATTCACATTTCTTGTAGTTGACATACAACTCATGATAAGCCAACTTGCTGAGAACTTGCTGCAAATGCTCAAGATGTTCCTTTTCATCCTCGCTATATACAAGGATATCATCAAAAAAGACTAATACAAATTTCCTCAAAAATGGCCGGAAAATGTCATTCATGAGGCATTGGAAGGTGGCCTGGGCATTAGTCAACCAGAAGAGCATGACGAGAAACTCATAATGCCCTCATGAGTCCGAAAAGCCGTCTTGTGAGTGTCTTCGGCTTTGACTCGAATTTGGTGATAACTGGACTTTAAGTCCAATTTTGAGAAGATGGTCGCACCATGAAGCTCGTCCAAGAGCTCGTCGATCACCGGAATCGGATATTTATCTGGAACTGTCTCTTGAGAGCCCGATAATCCACACAAAACCTCCATGACCCATCTTTTTTTTTTACTAGCAAAACCAGGCTAAAAAATGGACTCT